CCATCCTTCTGAGGTGGGTAAAATGAGAACCCAGATTGCTGTTTCCAAAAATATGCTGACTCTAAACCGCTTAGAGAGGGCTGAAAGCCCTATGAAGCGGTATATAAGTCTAACTGCTATTGCTATTGGCTAACGCAAATACGGCTTGCTTGCACATCTAGAATACAATCAGAGGTTGGAGCTAGCTATGCTACAAGAATTTGAAACCATGCCTTGACGTCAAACGCCAACCGACTGGTAGCAAGTGCTCTTTTGTAGTTACCATATTTTTGGAGTATAAGACGCACCAAGGTTTTGAAAAGGCAAATTTTTAAAAAAAGGTTTTGCATTCTGCAAACCTTGCGAAAATGGGCCTGTTTTTGTCAAAAAAAGGGGCATGAATAGCCTTTAGTAGGCTTGTAAAATGCTCCTGGGGGATGGGGGGGGGCAAAGCCGAGGAAAAAACAGCCCGTTTTTTGCTCATTTCTGCCCTCCCCAGCCCTCAGGAGTTCTCTGAAAGCCGCCTAAAAGCTATGTACAGCCATTTTGGTGAAGGGGGCGGGGTTTCGGGAGGAAAAAATTCTGTATTCAGTGTATAAGACGCCCCCAGATTTTCAGTCTCTTTTTTGAGGGAAAAAGGTGCGTCTTCTACTTCGAAAAATATGGTAAGTTACAAGAACATTTGTACCTTTTTGTAGCAAAGTTACAAGTTGAGCTCTTTGTAGCTAAATTGCAACAAAAGTTAATAGCAATAGCATTTAGACCAGGGGTGTCAAACTCAGGCAAGGGAGCCAGATCTGGCCCGCGGGATGCTTAGATCTGTCCTGCAGGGGAGCCCTGGAAATAGCGAAGGACCAGCCCGCAGTGCCTCTGCCAGTGAAAACGCAGCCCTCCCAAGCTCTGTTTTTTGCAGGAGGCCGTCCCAGCCGAAAACGGATCTTAGAGCCCATTTTTACTGGCAGAGCACTCTTGCCACAGGTGCCACCGACACGAGTGATGTCAAGCTGGCCACACCCACCCTGGCCATGCTCACCTTGGCCCCAAAGTCAACCCAACCCAACCCTGATGCATCCCTCAATGAAATATAGTTTGACACCCCTGATTTAGACTTATATATTGCTCCGTAGCGCTACACAGCCTTCTCTGAGCAGTTTACAGAGTTGATAAATTGCCCCCAATAATTTGGGCCCTCGTTTTACTGACCTCGGAAGGACAGAAGGTTGAGTCAACCAGAATTGAACTAGCTGTGGGCAGAGTTAGCCTGCGATGCCGCCCTTTAACTACAGCACCACCATGGCTCTTAAAACAAATAAGTAATTAAATCTTAGGTAAAATTATCCCTGTGTTCATTTCAGCCATATTTTCTTTTTGTTTGATTAGTATATAAAAGCAACCGAAACTGGCTGTTTGCTTGTGTCTCCCAGAAAGTGCAGCTTTCTCTTCTGACCGAGAGGGGAATGGGGGAAGCCGTGCAAGAATTTGTGGACAAGGAAGAGAAGGACGCTATTGAAGAATTGGTGAAGTTCCAGTTAGAAAAGACCCAGCGATTTCTGAAGGAGCGGCATACAGATGCAGAAGAAGCCAAAATCGATGAGGAGGTTTGTAATGGAATGGCTTAGTCTCCCTGGACACATTCAGGAATTGAATATTACAAATGTCACTTCATGGCAAGGAGGGTGTTTGGACCACCTGCTTCCATTTTTTAATCTGAGTTGCTTTTGGCCACATTCAGATTGTCAAATCCTTGTATAATGTACCAGAATAGCAATAGCCCTTAGACTTATATACCTCTTCGCACAGGGGTGGGATTCAGCCGGTTCAGACTGGTTCAGGCAAACTGGTAGCTCCGACGATCATTTGGGTAGCGAACCAGTTCGCTCCGATGATCAGGTGGGCCCACCCGCCAACCCCCGCACTTTACTTACCTATATCATGTCAGCTGATTCATGCTGTGCCTCAGCTATGTTACTCCCCAGAAATAACATGGAAGGTAAGTTTTGGTAAAACTGTGCATGCACACAGAGCGTGTGTTAGGCGCTGGTGCGTGCACACAAAGCACACAATCACCGGACTGGTTGTTAAACTGGCAGGATCCCACCGCTGGCTTCACAGTGCTTTTACATCCCTCTCTAAGCAGTTTACACAGTATATTGACCCCAACTATCTGGGTCCTCATTTCACCCACCTCGGAAGGATGGAAGGCTGAGTCAACCTTGAGCCTGGTGAGATTTGATCTGTCAAATTGCAGTCAGCAGTCAGTCAGCAGAGGTAGCTTGCAGTACTGCACTCTAACCACTGCGCCACCATGGTTCCTATGTAGAATATATAGGTAGTCCTGGACTTATGACCACAATTAAGCCCAAAATTTCCATTGCTAAGCAAGTGAGCTTTGCGCCATCTTACCACATTTCTTGCCAGAGTTGTTATGGGGATCACTTCAGTTGTTGTTAGTGTGTTTCCCCGAACATAGGACCGGGTCTTATTTTCTTTTAACCCCCAAAATAAGCACTTGGCCTTATTTTTGGGGAGGTCTTATTATTTTTGAGGTGCAGAAGGTGGAGAACATGGTCACCTCGTGGCTGCTGCTGTGTTGCCATATTTTCGGGGAGGGCTTCTTTTCAGGGAAGGACTTACTTTAGCGCATGCGCTCAAAAGCCCGATTGGGTGTATTATCCAGAGGGCTCTTATTTTCGGGGAAACAAGGTAGCATGGTTGTCAAATGAATCTTGCTTCCCTGTTGACTTCGCTCGTCAGAAGGTTTCCAAAGGTGATCCCATGACCCCGGGGCACTGCCACCGTCATAGATACATGCCAGTTGCCAAGTGTTCGGCTTTTGATCACATGACTATGGAAATGCTTCAGCAGTCGTTTAAGTGTGAAAAATGGCCATAAGTCACTTTCTTCAGTGTTGTTGTGACTTCGAACAGTCCCTAAACCAATGGTTGTTAGTTGAGGACTGTCTATACTTGTATTTCAGCTACCCTTCTCCCCCTCCTTCTATTTCAGCAAGAAAAGAAGCTGTATTAAGCATGTGCTCTTATTTCATCTGAATATATTCAGTGACTCTTCCATTTCAATACAGGTGCAGCGCTTCAGAGAATCGAAAAAAAAGAACACAGTGGAAGAGGATGAGGAAGTTCGTGAGGTAGGCCGAAAATTGAGAAGGAATCAGATGAGACTCCTATTAATCTAACGATAGCAATAGCAATAGCAGTTAGACTTATATACCGCTTCATAAGGCTTTCAGCCCCCTCTAAGTGGTTTACAGAGTCAGCATATCGCCCCACAGTCTGGGTCCTCATTTCACCCACCTCGGAAGGATGGAAGGCTGAGTCAACCTTGAGCCGGTGAGATTTGAACCGCCGAACTGCAGATAACAGTCAGCTGAAGTGGCCAGCAGCACTGCACCCTAACCACTGCGCCACCTCGCCACGATGTGCTTCACTTCTCTCTCTAAAGCAGGGGTGCCAAACTCGATTTCATTGAGGGCCGCACCAGGTTTGTGCTTGATGTGTGGGCGTGGCCTGGGTGGGCATGGCCAGCTCAACCTCCTGCAACCCTCTGCCAGTAAAAACGGAGCTTGAGAGCATGCAGCCCTCCCAAGCTCAGTTTTTACTGGCAGAGGCACTACGGGCCGGTCCTTTGCTGTTTCCAAGGCAGTCCTGTGGGCCGGATCTAAGCACCCTGCGAGCCAGATCCGGCCCGCGGGCCTTGAGTTTGACACCCCTGCTCTAAAGAAATGTAGACCACACAGTTCCCTTGGTTTCAAACCAAACTTTAAATGCTGTTCTGCTGTCTTGTTTTCCTCCTTTCAGATTTAAGACCACTCATGTGTTAAAACAATAAACATCATCTTCCACCCCTTTCGTAATTTCCAGTCCATTCATGGAGATAGGCTTTGTGCTGCTCCACTCTCTTTCTTTCACACACACACACAAACACATGCATGTAACTGTGGTTTAGTGAGGTTATTAATGTTCCCCAGCAATTCCCTTTACCAAGAATCAGAACTGTCCCAAATAAACCCAGCCACAAGCAGGCTAAGATTAGTCCACAAGGAAGGCAATGGGACAGTAGTCCATAAGCAGTTAAAAGTTGCTCAAACACAAGAGCTCACTTGGTAAGAAAAGTTCAGAGTCTCCAAACACAGTTAAGCACAACAATCAAACAAACAGCTAGAAAGCCAACATGTTGTTCCCAGCAATATGTTGTTCCCTCTGCCTGCTGTAATAAATAGCCAGCTTTTCAGTACAGCCCATTGAGGACCAGGAGGGGGGGGGATGTTCTGAGTAATCTGGCTGATCTCCATTGCTCCTGCCTTTTCTCTGCCCTGCGTGCTCTCGGATCAGGTGCCTAAAGGCAGCTTCTCCTCTTCACTGGCCATCTGTCCCTGCAAGCTTTCCCCAGCTGAAGCCTCCTCCAATTCTCTTGGAGGAAGTATCTGCGGAGTCATCCAAGAGAGACATCACCGGCTTTCGAATTTGAGTGAAAATGCTCCTTTGTTTCTTTACCTTGTCAGGTCTTCAGCTGTCTTTTCTTTTGGGTCTTTGGCCTGCCATCCTGCCTATTCTTCTATGCATTTTCTATTGTGGGGAAATGGGAGGGGGAATTGTAGGGAGTTAGATGATATGTAGCCATAACAACATTCTTTCTAGAAAGCCAAGGTCATCCTTTGTCTCTGCACCTTTGGACCTGACTGGAACTGGATGGGTGGAACTGCCAGCATGGCAGTGGGGGATTGGACGATGGGATGGGCTTGTGTGTGGGGGGGCAAGAACTTGAACTTTCAACTGGGTGGGGGAAACCGGGAAGCTTTCAGATTCAGGTTTCCCCAGATGTGCCAACATGGCTCTCTTCATAAATTGGAACTTTGAGGAATACTTTGCCTTGGACTCTGATTTAATTTTGGGTGCTATTTGGAACCCTGACCAATTATATCCAGAACTTCTATGGGGCTACGGCTGTGGCCCCCTAATTGGATGTCCAGTTCAGGTATCCTCTGTTGTTGCTTCATGCAGATCTAAAGAACCAGAGAACTTCATGTCGTGGGCAGTCATGCACAATAGGTTTAACAGTTTGTATATCTGCACCACAATCACCACAAGGGGAATCTTTCCATCACTACTGATATAAAACAGAGGCACTTCTTCCAAAGGT